GCTCCGAATCAACCGCCCGAACGAAGGACCGTGGCAGGAACCGGGGTGGATCGCACTCGCTTGTCGGTGATGCTCCGTTTTCGATGCAAAGTTAGAAAGTGCGAAAGTCGGTTCAAAGACGAACGCTTTCGAATCTGTCTCTTATACACATCTAGATGTGTATAAGAGACAGGAATCCAACGGATTTCCGCACTACGTCTTTCTTTGGTAGATATGAAATTACTTTGTAGAATAATAAATCGCATGTCACTGGCATTATGATTAGGTAGACTGAAATGAGCTGCAACAGATTTGCTCATGTCTTTGCGTCTAATAGTGCATTTGTGATTATTAAGTCTCGCCCTGTTTTTTGGTACCCGTTTCACCTATTTCATTTCCTGTATAGGTATATATATATATATATATATAGGTATGTATATATATATATATAGGTATGTATACATGTATGTATACATGTATGTATACATGTATGTATATATGTATGTATATATATATGTATGTATATATGTATGTATATATATATGTATGTATATATGTATGTATATATGTATGTATGTATATATGTATGTATATATGTATGTATGTATATATGTATGTATATATGTATGTATATATATATGTATGTATATATATATATATATATGTATATATGTATGTATATATATATATATATGATTTCATAAATCTGGATGTTAAAATCGTCAAAAGACGGACACCAATAATGGAGTTATAATAATGGAAGAGCTATCCCATACTCCATGCAATGAGAGAGTAGCTTAGTTCAGTCGGCTAATCTGGTGGTAGCCACTGTGTGTGCGCTGAACCGTGGAGATCTCTAGATCCCCAGTTCAATTCTCATCGCTTCCTCTCCTTGTGTTTCAGCTGTAGGGCTAAAATACAAGTTACAATAGCACACCGTCTTTTGGATGAGACGTTTAGGCCGTTGGACCTGTGTGCATTTATGGCTCATGTACACGTTAAAGGTCGCAGTACACTCTTCAGAAAAGAGTAGGGGATTGTCTCCTGGTGTACTGGCCAATCACCACCAGTAGGACCCCACTGGAAATGAGTCTTCTTCTAGACTTTCTTGGGCTGTTCTTGGTGTCTACACTAAATCCAATGCTTAGTGGCATAACGCTCTCGTGCTGCGGGCCATAGCGCCACTAACCATTCGGTGCCCCTACCCATAGGGTCTCTGCTCTATAGCATCCTGATCTATAAAGGGGTTTGCTGATACATAACAGAATAACTTGTCATTGACATCGTCTGTAGGACATGAGTGGGGTTTGAGGGGGATGAGGTGCCGAGAATGTCAGGAACCCCTACATTTGTCAATTTATTTTTTATTTTTCATTTGGATAAAATATTAAAAATTTAAGTTTGAATGAGTGCCAATACTGTGCATCTAGAGGTGTCATAATCATAATTTGCTTTGTGACTGCGAGGGCATAAATAGCTATAAGTAATTGATTAGACCCTTTCGGATGCCCGTGAGGGGAGGGATGTCAAGGGAGTGGTAGCTTAGCTCCCTTTGAGAGGAAGTCAATACTTTTTTATTTTGTGTAAATTTGTAATCAAATTTAGGTATGAGATTGCCATTTCCGACCATCTAGAGGTGTTATAATCATAATTTTTTTTTTTTTTTTTGCCTGAGCCCCGATCTGTCAAAACCCATTCCTGGGCCCCCTCTATATTGAGAACCTGGATCTGCCACTGGACTACCTATTGGGCCACCCATCAGAAAAATTTCTGGATCCGCCCCTGTTGTAGTTTGTATCCTTTTATTGTTTATATTGGTATAATTGTTTTTGTATTGTTTACCAATGATTTCAGCGTGCAAGCTTCTTCTTTTGGTCTGTCTTGGTACTAAAAAAAAAAAATACATAGATAAATATTATACATTATCAAAGAATAGTTGTTGCCATAATATTTTGAATGTAGTTCATAAAAAATAACCATAATGCTATCTTACTAATTTCATTGCAGGTTCTGAATTAGAGAAGTGGGATTTTAGAGGGATGCTAGTGCGTGTCTCAAAGGACATCGGTGACGATCTGAATGAATGGAAAGTAGCCCTCAGCAATCATATCAATACTGGTGCATTAGAGAAAGCGGCAACAGCACTTTCGCTCTTTAAAGTCTTGATTGACAGGGCAATAATGAAGGATGGTGATATAAGGATTCTACTAGAGACCATTAAGATGACAGATTCACTTCATTTGAGGAAACACATTCCGAAATGTCAACCTCTTGACAATATGAAGATCACTCAGTTCTCAAAATTTAGGCAGTCTGTGATGACATTTGGAAAAGAACTTTGTGACGATGACATTACGAACCTTGTCTTCTATTACGGGCTTCGTCGTCAGTACAGTGATGGATGGTCACTGATAATGGACTTGCAAAAAGAACTAATACTGGCAGATACCGATAAGTCGTTACATGATTTCAAAGCTAAATTAAATCATATGGGGCTAGAAAGACTTAGCAATTGTCTAAACCGCTAGGCTAAAAAACAACAATCATGCTTAGAAAATTCATCAAAACATAGAACAATATCGGATATCATTTTATTGTCAAGTGTATTCGGTTATCGAGAGTCTGCATGTCCTCTGTTGTTTCTGTTACTAATGCATACTTTGATTTTCTTTGCTTTAATACAATATTCCGTATACAACTTTCCGTATATATGAGTTGTTATTTATATGTAAGTTAATGAAATGATTATGTAAAATGAAAAATAAACTTTTATAAGAATAAAGTACAAGTAAATACAAGTACAAATTACCCAGACATGCCAACCACTCCAATTTGTTTTAAGCAAAACTCCGCACTCCGATTTTATGTCCGCTTTTTACACATTTTGGCCAGCTGAAATTTCCAAATAAAAATAATAATCCAATGATTTAGATAAGAAAAAGACCACTTAATTTCGTCTTGTAAACAGCGGTCAACTGTATACGAAATAGTAGCCTAATTCCTGCTCTACAGTCTACTGATTTCGAAAATACCCAATTTCATTGACCAAATCGCTGTCAGAGTTGCACTACTGTATACGAACAATTAATTCGCACCGATCCACAGTCTACTGATTTTGAAAAAAAGAAATTTCATTGGCCAAATTGATGTCAGAGTTTCACTGCACTCTGAACTGTACAGTTCTTCATAGTGTACTGATTTTGTAACAACAACAGACTAGTAAAGCACGATTTCAAAAATGAGTCCAATGAGAGCGATATGGATGTAGGCCTAGGCAGTACCGAAAAAAAAGTAGTAGTGTTGAGCTTCCTCCAAAAAAGAAGCTAAAACACACGCAAACATGCAAGTTAACAACGGAAATTATCCTGTCAGTTTGAAATCAATACTACTGTAGGTGATGCCTCTGGTACGCTCGTTGTGATTGGTGTGTTGTTGATTTTCTGCCTAGAGCCTAGTCTTGCACGGCGGTATTACTGTTGTGGATCAAAACGGTTACAATTTACAATTAAATATATATATATATATATATATATATAT